ATACAATCCAGATTCCCTCTGCCCTCAGGGTTTTTAAATTATCCCCCCCCCCCCCACTATTACATATATTCCCGTGTGGCTTGAAATTCTAGTAGAATATATAATACGTTCACCCACAGTCAGTACATGACCAAGAACAGAAAAAGGAGTAGGAAAGCACTAGGAAATTACGATACTGGCTGGCAGATCCAGGACCTCATCCCTCAGAAGATGAGAAGGCAACTGTTAGCTCGTGGTTAATTTCCAGAAGAAAATGACTAGCTGCTGATTTATAGGTAAATATGGGATTCAGTTATTAAAAAGACATGGGATGAATTTTTCAAAATGGACTAACTGATCTTTTCAGTTTGCAGTGATTTTAAAGAAGAGATTTAAATGTAGTTTGAGAATGCTGGATGTAAAAAGAAAAGCACTTGGCCCCTCTGGCAGCATTTATAGAGTACCACGCACTGTTGAATAACTTCCTCTATTAGTTTAATGTTAATGTTTTGATGGACACAGTACAAAAATCAAATAGTGAAATAAATAAATTCCCAGAAATGAATAAACAATTAAAACAGGTATATTCTTTATCATACCCATCCTGGACTTAAAACCTGAGATTTAATTTTTTCTTCAACTTTATTATTTAGTGGTTTAAAATGCAAAGAAATTCTGTTGATTTAAATGGGTCTATTCCATTCAAAAGAAAATTTAATTATAAAATACAAAATATCGTAACCTGAAAACCATATAAAAATGAAAAATATAACTAAATCTAAAATTGTAACTCAGTTTGAAAATCAAAAGTTCAAAGTACAGATGCGATACTCTTGCATTCTGATTTTAAAACTATAGAAATATTTTTGAAATTTTAATCTTTTATCAGGCTTTCAACATAAATATTGAACCACTGAACAAAACTTGAGTTCAGATAACTTGCTGTACTAAAACTTTGTAGACATTATTATTTTTGGTCAAGTTACTGTTCAGTGGTTTTGTTAAAGACTATGGCACCTAAAAATTAAAAGAACTTCACATAGTCTATTATGTAAAAAGGTAACATGTCACTTAGTCTTCATAGTTGTTATGGGGTAAGCTAGTGTGGTTTTAGACCATCCCAATTTAGGACTAAGAAGTTCTTGTTCTCTCTTTCAATCAAAAGCCTCTGGTTTGAGAGAATAGTGCCAAAGACATTGCTGTATTTATAATTTAGCAACTATACTAAATGTGAAGTTCATTCCGATTTTGTTGGCAGTTGCTACAATCACATGATAGAAACTATTCAATCAGTGTTTGGCTAAGAACAAATTTACTTTAACAAACCTGAGATAACCTTGGTTTAACTTAAAAATATCACCAATGGTATTTAGTTGTGTAGGGTAATAAAGAAATAGTCAGCTTTTTAAAGTTCTATTTATGTCTTGGGTTGACTCCCAAGGTAAATTGTGGATGATTTCAGGGTTATTACTTGAAATAATCCAAACCAACAAAATAACATACTTTTCAAAACACAGGCTTAACTAATCTTTTCCCATTTCTGATATTGCAGTTAAAATGTAATTTGTTATAATGTAATTTGTTAAAGTAGTGCAGAAACTGAGGCCTGGTGTTAGCAATCAAAAGTAGTTTCACTTCATAATAGCAGAAATGAAGCTCTTTAGACTCTTCTTCTTCTTCTTAGAGTATGTTATTTTGAATATATGCTATTTTTGGACACTGCAGAAAAAATGCAAATTCATAATGTTCTAATTTGGCCAGAAATATGAACCCCAACAGATTAAACCACATGATCATGCTACCAGCTTCTAAGATGCCAAATAGGAAAAAAACACAGAGGTCTCTGTTTCTTGTGAAGAATGATGAACAAAGAGAACTTTTGATGTTTATTCTTCTGCACCCTAAAGAAAGAGGACTGTCCAAAATAGTGCCATTGTGGAATGATGCAACTAAGACAGAAGATTCAACCTTATGGTGACCTTTTCATCTTCCTTCAGCCCTGTATCAAATTCTTCCTACTGCTCTGCATTTAAGACATTTAGAAAACACTTCTTTAATGGTGTTTAAAGCTCTTATTGCCAGATAAAGAACAAAGACTATTCATACGATTAAATATTTATAATGCATTCCTAGCAATGCCCCTCATATATATGTCCCTCAAATCAATTGCCTACTCCAAAGTTAACATTGCTTGAGAGCTTAATGCATAACGCTGCGCCCAGGAAATACAAATTCATAATTTGTGAGTAAATAATCAAGCTGTTCCTCTTCCTACGCTTATATATGCTTTTAATATATTTCCAAGGGAAAAAAAAAAAAAGTATTTAGAAAGAATATAAATTTTCAGCTGGCATATTGATAAACAGATTTTATTAAGCACAAGGATTATTAAGCCAAACGCATGTGTAGAGGAACTTTTATTTCAGTATGTGTGCCTTTTTAAAAGAAAACGTTGCCTTCTTTACTAACTGCTTTCCAGCGTCTTTTTAAAGGATGAGGGAAACCGGTAAACGAGGCAATGACATTTCTTAATGAGCCAGAAGAGGGAGCCCCTTAATAGGGCAATCAATTTCCTGCCCGAGTCCCTCCGCTGCCGTTCCTGAAGTTTCTACCATGCATGAGGTCAAAGTGAGCTGAAACGCGAACATGGCCAGAATGAATCTTTCTGTAGCTGTGTTTCGCGGGCTAACAAAAGATAATTAACAAAACTGTAATTTTCTATCATGCTTTCTTTTTTTTTTTTTTGAGAACAAAAGAGACTAATAGCGAAGTTCCCATGCTCTGCCTTCCCCGCTCCTAAATTAATACAAAATGACCCCTTGCAGCGTCAGCATGCCTTTAAAGTGCCTTTCTGATACAATGCTGTGCAGCTTCAATTTTACTACAAACCCATCACACAAACATCTGTGACTCATCTATGTGTGAAGATAAAAGGGGGGTGGTCTACTGCAGGGCTGCGAAGAGCCAAGAGAGAGAAGATCGCTATAATGCAGAATTTCTTTATAACTTATTTTATGAGACAATGTCAGAATCAGCATGTATATCAGACTTGGTTTACAGTGCACAAAATGGATCTTCCAACTATTTTTTCCACACAGCTCTTTCAGAGAGCAGTTAACCCAGTGAAATTGGATGTGCTCCATGTTTTAACCACTCGGCTTATTTTCTTCGAACACATGTGTTTACTTCTCAAACTGAAACAGTAATCTTGCCATTGTCTTTTGTAATCCGTATTTGTAATAATGCAACATTGCTGACATTGCTAACAAACCACCGAGTTCACTGAGCAAAGGGGACTACTCTGACAACATTGCTTTGATAACACAGACCTTAGCGAGAGAGCACGGCTCTCATTAGTTGTACAGGAGCAGGACTAAAAGGGCTAATCTTTTTCCCTGCGTGGGTATTTTGAAAATCCTTTCCCTGTTGTGTACCAAAGCACTTAAGTAAATACATAAAACTAAGCTTAAGTTAATTACTGATTATTTAAGTAAATGCTAACAGATTCTGCTGACTAGCAATGGTCTTAAAGCAGGGGCTTGAAATCAAATCTGTGCTCAGTAGATTGAAGTCTAATGAAAGACTCGGTATCGAAATCTCTACCCAAGCTAAAATTCAAAGAACGAAACCCCAGTTCACTATGTCAATGGAAAAACTCCCTCTGACTTGAAAATGATCCGTGTTTCTGACACCGGCCTCAGTAGGAGTTTTGACTGAACAGGGCTACGCAAGGGACCCAAAAGTTTTTACAGAAAGGCTAATGTGAAGGAAAACAGACATTTGTAGCCATGGAATTTGTTGAGGTGCAAGATTTTCGGCATGGCTGGAAACGAGCCTCTTCCTACCCATAAGAGCAGCACAAATATCAACTCCCCACCCCCCAGCTGGGGGAAATAAACCCATGCCGATCACTTTCTAACATCCCACCTCCAGGATGGAGCTATTTTAGGACTCAGCCTTTGAAGGAAGTCCTTTGTTCACTTAGAAAAAATAAATATAAATTCTTTTCTCTTTACCTGCACTGGTGCCTGCACCGGTTGTGAGGTCCCCACCCATCAGGCCACCTAGGGGGTTGAAATGAAATACTACAAATGAGCACAATAAATTATAACAGGCAAACATTCAAAACATTTTCTCTAACTTCAAACGGCCAGCTCCAATACCCACCACTGTTTTCGTCTGACTTCAACAGGCATCAGATCAGACCCATAATCATAAAATGGTAATCTTTAATGTTACCCGTACAAGACACTTGCCTTTCAAGGACAAACAAAATATGTAGTCCACAACATTTCATTACTTTATTTTCATACTTCCACAGCATATGAAAAATAAATTATATCTGAAAGTTATGTATAGCAGTCCTTCATTTGAAAACTATATTTAGTTCAGCATTAGTCAGAAAAGCAAAGGCTTTTTCATTTTATTTTGCTCAGCCTTTCACAGACATTCGCTGTAAGGATTTTTAAAACTTCTCTTTGCACTCGGGGACCTCAAATGGTTCTTTGAACCTGGTATCCTTAAGGATCTTGATGCTGCTCCAGTCAGACAGATTGAATGAGCTTAATCCCCATTTATCCTATTCAGAGGTGAGCCCTCATCGCCACCAGAGCAAAGCACAGCCTCTTGCTAAACAGGGCACTCAAGTACAGAGCTCAGCTACAATTTACCCATCAAGGAACCTGTGAATGCATAAATAATAGTAAATTCTGAGTCTGGCCTCTAGACTGATGACTTAAGCAACGAGTGTCCTATTTTACTTGCTTCAACTTGTTTGCATTGGCTACATTTTCTCCCCTGCCCCCTTAAGCTTTATGGTATAGTGAGTTCTTGCTTGAATTAAGTAGACAAGATGCCTTTTTATGAAACAGCAAATTGTCTGCCCTTTTATCCTTTATTGATTTCCTTTAATCTCAGTCAATATCCAGCTTTTTCTAGAACTTCTTTTTTTTTTCATTTTCTAAATTGGGCATAGAAACCCCTTTGGCTCTTCTTTTGATTTTTCAACACAGCAGTTTTGGACAAATTGTTATGACTGGTAAAAACAAAGCTCTCGTTTCTCAGAGTACAGTTTAAAGTGACCTAAAGGCACACAAGGCAGCTGATAAAAGAGCATTTAAAGGGATGGGACTGAAGAGAGCCTACCTGTGTTACCTGCACTCGGAGGCCGATGTGTCACTCCAGGAGACATGCTATTTCTTTGCAAAGAAGGATGAGCCAGCGGCAAAAGGTTGGGGTTCCCCAGCGAGCTGACTGGGTTACTGTATACCAAACTGTTGTGGTTGGACACTGGGATAGAAACTGGCATCTCGAAGTTTGGTGGTGGAACAGCCTGTACAAGCAAAAAGGGAAACAAAGACGAGAATAGTACAGAAGCACAACAGCCTTCAAGTACAGTTACTCTATATTTAGTTCAAATATTTTGTAGTTGGTGGTTAAAATATTTATTCTTGCCCCCTCCTCCAAGAGTCAAAAGAAGAGTTTCAAAAGAGTTACCAAGGCTTTTAAATATGATTTTTCAGATAATGATTCCATCTTCCTTTAATGCAGCTAGAAAGACTTTTTTTTCATTTTTTTTCTGTTTAAAACAAAACCCTGCTTTATGAGGCTTAATTTTCTTTTGCTTTCACTCTGTGAAGTCGTAATTGTTCACTTGTGATATCTTAATCTAGTGTCACAGATGACTGCAAGATCAAAGGTACATGATTATGATGACTTCATTGCATGGAGAAAAATTAGAAGGTGTGGAATGCAAAAAGGAAAGCTTTAATTTCAGCTTATGTTGCTTTAGCAACCAGAATGATCCCAAATCACGTTAAAGGCACCAACACAGTAAATTAGTTTTTTAGAAGTTTCCATCTTAGCGTTGAGGGACTTAAAAGAAACAAAGTTCTACTCAGGGATAGGTAGCATATACAAGAACTTTAGATGCACACCAGTCTTTGGGTTCTTTGTGGTTTGTTTCTGTTTTCTTTTTTTTGGGGGGTGGGGGATGATGGTGTTTGGTGATCCCTTTTCCATATACTGTTTTCATACTTTAAGGCAGGATCCTCTCCTGAGCCACTTTGCTTTGCAAGAATCCATTTCAAAGAAGCCCCAAATAATGGACCTCTCTGACAGAGGGTGTGAGAATTTGCAGTACTTGATTCTCATTAAGATCTCAGAAAGCCCAACTCAGGTTTTCTTGGTTAGTTGTGGGTTTATTGGTTGGGGTCTTCTTTGGTGGCAGTTGCCTGAATTTCTCTAAAATTTATGACTTCTGTGGCACTCAAATACATGAAAATTCCATATTTAATTTACTTGGTTTTAAAGGAACTAATTTCTTGCCTTTGTGAACAGAGAGAAAACTTTTTCAGAATTACCTGACAGCATTTCAAATATGCAAATACCTGAAATGCAAACGAATCACCCCTTAATTTGCCATTTAAAAACCTTACAAGCTTCAAGAGCCTAAACCCATCAAAAAATTCTTTAAACCAGCCTTGTAGCACCTTCAGAGGGAGGAAAATCGCAGATTTTAATTTTGTTCTTGGCAGCTGATAGTGCTGGTAAGTCTTCAAGGACTTAGAGGGAGTGTGTTGAAAGCTGGACACATGATCTGCTGTGTCAGGCAACAGAGGCACCCTGACCTTGTGCCACCCACGTCTCTGCTCTGGCTGGCCAGAGCTGTTTGGCTGTGCCCTGCAGATTAGAGAGCTGGCCATCCAATTACAGCTATCCCTTAAGATTATTTTTTTTTTTTTTTTTTTTTTTTTTTTTTTTTTTTTCTCCCTTTTTAAAAAAAAAAAAAAAAAAAAAAAAAAAAGTTCTAGGAAAAATATTAAACCC